ATTTGCACACTTGAAAAATTAGCGTTCAGCACCGGAAAAATTCTTGGGGGCACCAGACGTTACTAACGGCGCACGAGAATGTTTCTGGTGCTACGCAATAATTTTTACAGGTGTGTACATGCTGACTCGTTTATGGTGCTTAACACATGAATTTTTCTAGAAAATTTTCCTCCGAGTACTGAGGAAGAATTTATAGAATTTACAAACGTGTAAATAACGAATGTTTTAGTGGAAAGGTAATAAATATAAAAAGCGACTTCCACATTTTTATGTTTGAATGAGATTTTTTACAATGAGACAAAGCGGTTCACGACAATTAACGATCATTCCTCGCAGTTCGTTATCTCAAGAACGCAGATAAAAATTGCAATGTGTCACCCAGTCACAACATGACTAATCACTGACATGTTAAGAAGAATTCCCCGACAGAATCAGTCCTTTAGACGGACCTTGCTATATTCACCAATACACAGAAAAATTTTCTATAAAAATTTATGTACTAGCACCATAAACACGTCACAATTTGCACACTTGAAAAATTAGCGTTCAGCACCGGAAAAATTCTTGGGGGCACCAGACGTTACTAACGGCGCACGAGAATGTTTCTGGTGCTACGCAATAATTTTTACAGGTGTGTACATGCTGACTCGTTTATGGTGCTTAACACATGAATTTTTCTAGAAAATTTTCCTCCGAGTACTGAGGAAGAATTTATAGAATTTACAAACGTGTAAATAACGAATGTTTTAGTGGAAAGGTAATAAATATAAAAAGCGACTTCCACATTTTTATGTTTGAATGAGATTTTTTACAATGAAACAAGCGGTTCACGACAATTAACGATCATTCCTCGCAGTTCGTTATCCCAAAAACGCAGATAAAAATTGCAATGTGTCACCCAGTCACAACATGACTAATCACTGACATGTTAAGAAGAATTCCCCGACAGAATCAGTCCTTTAGACGGACCTTGCTATATTCACCAATACACTGAGAAAAATTTTCTATAAATATTTATGTACTAGCACCATAAACGCGTCACAATTTGCACCCTTGAAAAATTAGCGTTCAGCACCGGAAAAATTCTTGGGGGCACCAGACGTTACTAACGGCGCACGAGAATTTTTCTGGTGCTACGCAATAATTTTTACAGGTGTGTACATGCTGACTCGTTTATGGTGCTTAACACATGAATTTTTCTAGAAAATTTTCCTCCGAGTACTGAGGAAGAATTTATAGAATTTACAAACGTGTAAATAACGAATGTTTTAGTGGAAAGGTAATAAATATAAAAAGCGACTTCCACATTTTTATGTTTGAATGAGATTTTTTACAATGAAACAAGCGGTTCACGACAATTAACGATCATTCCTCGCAGTTCGTTATCTCAAGAACGCAGATAAAAATTGCAATGTGTCACCCAATCACAATATGACTAATCACTGACATGTTAAGAAGAATTCTGCGACAGAACCAGTTCCTTTAGACCGACCTTGCTGTTCTTACCAAGGCTGAGGGTTAAGTTTTATCTGTATTCCTCCAAGTGAATTGTAGATATCGGTACCAGCAGGAATGAGAGACCCAAGCCACAGCATTCTTCAACTCGAATACCCCATGGAGGGTTCCCCCTCGCCCCAACGACCCGCGCCGTTGGTCCAATGCAGGCAACAGGCTTAAACGCATACAAATAAATCGAAATAACACGCACATGGGAAGGTCTTCCAGCTTCTTTGTGCCTGCTCCCCATAGGACTTTCTGCGTCACATTTTCCCGTAACAAAGAACTACTTTCTCCGAAAATCTTTCACAACATATGACTCTCGAATTCAAACATTAATTTTTCATCTATGAAATTTAAATCTATGAAGCTCTCAAACAATTAATTTTCTGTAACGAAAATCTGGGGAATGTAAAAATTTAATTCATATTTTAATGGGTTTTTGTTTTTGCATTTTATTCGTCAATTAGGATGATTAATTTTGGGTTTCGGAATTCGAATGTTATTTCAGAAAAATTATGGTGTCCCCAATAATTTTTCCGGTGCTACACAACAATTTTCCTGGTGCCTAGTCTACTGTCTAATTTATTTTTTTAGAAAATTTTTCTCTGTGTGAAAAAATAATTGTTTAAATGAATCCAATTGTGATTTAAAATATTCTTCCGAGTGCCATCTTCACCGAGTTCGATCATGAGATTGACACATCATCTGTTGTTGAAAAAATTTATTTTGAAATCAATATTAAGGGAAACGTCAAAAATTTGAACGCTGGGGCAGTGTTGAATTCTATGAATCATTGAATTCAATTTGAAATGCATCGTCATAGAAATGTCATTCAAACGTAAATTGCTAATTTATTAGCAAAAATGTAGTGCCTGTGGTGTGTCGAAAGCAATTTTCCACGTGTTTTACCATGAAATAACGGGGTCCCCGAGAATTAATGACTCTTGCTACATAATTATAACACCTTCAAATTGAAACATTAATTACCAATTTATAAAATTTGAAAATTTTGACATGAAGACTATTTTAGCCAAAAAAAAAAATAAAAGATTCGTTCATATTTTTATACTGAGATGAGGTTTTCTATAGGACAACGTGGGGTCAAGTAGAATGTTTGACCTTGGAAAAATCCTTGAGAAAAATCCCAATATCTCTGTTTACAAGCAAAGATAGTACGATTCAAAGTCGATCACAACGTTGACTTTGACCCATTTCCCCTAGTAAAATAGAGGTTCACAAAAAGTGATCTCTTTGGACGCACGCAACTATCGAATTAGAACATTCATTAACAATTTTCAGGATTAAAAAACTTCTAAGGAACGAATTGCAGCGAAAAGCCAATGCATATAAAAAACTTCTTTGATACTGCTGCTACCTTCACTTCGTGCCGAAAAGTGGCTTTTCATTTACTCGTAAAAGAAAAGTAAACGAACAGGATATTTTAGGGCGAGTGCCATGGAGTTTTTTTACTCGCGTGGTTGGCCAGTAAGTGAGTGGCTGAACTGTGCCTTTTTCGTTTACACGTAAACGAAAAGACTTTTTCTGTACTGCTTCTCACGATTTCTCGCCTGGGAATTGGTATTATATACTTCCCAAACTAGAAAAGTTGAATATCACTACAAAAAAATCTTGTCCCGGGCTTCTGCGATGGGATTTTTTACTGGCGTGGTTGGCCATTAAAAAAACCCTATGGCACCGGTCGTGAACGATATTTTTCCGCAGTGATTTTCCCTTTTACGAGTTTGAGGAAAGGTCAATACCAATCCCCGGACGAGGAAAAGTGAAGGTTAGTACGGAAAAATAGTATTTTCCGGCCTGTTGCGATGGGGTTTTTTACTCGTGTGGCGTTAGCCTCCGAGCCGTAGGCGAGGACTGGCCAACCACACGAGTCAAAAAACCCCATCGCAACAGCCCAGGAACAATATTTTTCTGTAGTGATTTTCAAGTTTTCAAGTTTGGGAAGTATGTAATACCAATTCCCAGACGAGAAATCGTGAGAAGCAGTACAGAAAAAGTCTTTTCGTTTACTTGTAAACGAAGAAGGCACAGTTCAGCCACTCGCTGAACGCAACATCACTGTCAAAAAATATTGTTTAATCTATTCTTCAGGAATAAATAACGATAGTTACTCCACGTGTTTGAATTCATCACAAAAAACTAATTCATGTTTTTAGATTCAAATGGGCTTTTCAGACTATAATAAACCGGTTTGCGAGAATGCCTCAAGCAAACATTTCCATAAAATTTGAAATTTTATAGAAGGAAGTGTCTCTTAATGAATTTCCCTAAGTTTCCCAACTCCAGAGATAGTTAATAAAAATACACCAATACATGACATTTGTGTATTTTTATAATTTCATATTCAATTGAGTATTTCATTGAATTATCCTCGATGATTTTAATCTATTCTTCAGCAATAAACAGCGGTACTTACACAACGATTTTGAATTCATCACAAAAAACTAATTCATATTTTTATATTCGAAAGCGCTTTCTAAATAAAGCGGTTGACGAAAATGCGTTAACCAAACATTTCTATAACATTTGAATTCTTTCAGAAAGAAATATCTCTTGATGAATTTTCTCAAGGCTTAACTCCGGAAATAGGAAAATAAAAATACACCGACATGTGAAACTTGTGTATTTTTCTATTTAAATAGGACTTTTACCCTAGAATAAAGCGGCTTACGAGGATGCGTCAAGCGTTTCCATAAAATTTCAAATTTTATAAAAGAAAATGTTCCGTGATGCATTTCCCCAAGTTTTTTTACTGCGGAAATAGTTAAATAATACATCAACACCTAACATTTTTTGTATTTTTATAATTTCATATTCGATAAACTCTCTCATTGACTTAATCTCGATGATTTTACTCTATTCTTCAGAAATAAACAACAATACTTACTCAACGATTTTGAATTCATCCCAAAAAACTAATTCATACTTTCATATGCAAATGGACTCTTCAGAAATAAATAAAACAGTTTACGAGAAGTCGTCAATCATTTCCATAACATTTGAAATTTTATAGAAGGAAATGTCTCGATACATTAGCCCTGTTTTCTTATCTCCGAAGATAGTTCAATAAAAATACATCAAAGCTTAACAGTGGTGTATTTTTGTAGCTTCATGTTCGATAAACTCTCTCATTGACTTAATCTCGATGATTTTAGTCTATTCTGCAGAAATAAACAACGATACTTAACGATTTTGAATTAATCCCAAAAAACTAATTCATATTTTCATATACAAATGGACTCTTCAGAAATAAATAAAACAGTTTACGAGAAGACGTCAATCATTTCCATAACATTTGAAATTTTATAGAAGAAAATGTTTCGTGATGCATTTCCCCAAGTTTTTTAACTGCGGAAATAGTTAAATAATACATCAACACCTAACATTTTTGTATTTTTATAATTTCATGTTCGATAAACTCTCTCATTGACTTAATCTCGATGATTTTACTCTATTCGTCAGGAATAAACAACTCTACTTACTCAACATGTGTCTCGATTACGCAACTCCGCAATTGAATTTAAAAACTCGAGTGGGAGGGGACGAGTGAATAAGATAACGATGATTTTTTCTCTCAGTTTGTCCAACACTTTCAGTGGTTCACGTGTCGATCGGTTTAGGATGTTTACCCACGAGCGGCATAACTCCGGACCGATCCAATACAGTATCCGGCCACGAGGATTGGGCGAGACTGACCACTTTGTTGCTTGCGGGGAGCTCACTGGGCTTCGTCGGCTTCGTCGCATAGGTCGCATATGAGAGCGTGAAACTGGTGGAGTGAGCGCCTCGGCGGGTACAGCAGTGAGCCATAGAAATGTCGTCCCCACTCTCGCTTTTCGTTACGGATAGTAAATATAGGAGGCATCAATGGAATGGCTGGATATATGTACGACGGGTTGGATGCTCTGTATGGAATATGAGGGCTTTTTTTTCTTGTTACGAAGAGTCAGGCGTCTGGCGCGTATCGTGACCAATCGTGGCCTCTGTCTCCTTACTGCTGGGGTAATTGACTTAACAATTTCATGCGGGACAATGAGTCTTTAACTGCGACCGGGAGTCGAGTTCAGTGGATTTTCATAGAGATTTTTTTAAAGGCTCTTCTGTTACTTCCGAATATTCAAATCAGGTTTTACCAACCATTATTAACACATTCCTCATTTTCGGGAAACGAGAGGATGAACATTGCGCAGCCAAAATTCACTCGTGAAGAGAATTTTTCGTTTCATATAGGTCTTTTCAATCCGTAAAATTAATTACTTGGGAATGGAAGCTTTGTAAATAAAGCTTACGGTACAGTCAAAGATTATTGAAAACTGCAAAAAAATTGCAGAAAACTCGATTAGATTCGGAATTCTAATTTTTTTCTCAATTTAATCATCGTTTTGGTTTTACGTGTCTTACGTGAAAATCAACATTTCCATTGTAATCAAAGATTAAAATCTGAATTTTTGTTCATTAGATGTCAAAAAATCAAGAATTTTTTTGACACCTCATAAAAAATAATCCACCATTTTGCAAACAATTTTTATTATTTATTTATAAGAGCGAAATGTTTCAAAAAATATCAATATTTTGTGAAATTTAATTTAGATAATATTGACTGGGTATGAATTTTTTCAAATTTTTTCCATGCAATTTAGTTGAAAAATTTAAAAACTGAAAATACCCAAAAGTACAGCGTAGCCTGGCCGAAGGGTAGAGCTGCTTTACGGGATTTAATTTATGGCGAGTTGGGCACGGTGGAGGTGAGATGGAGGGGAATCTATTTTTCTCTCGCAGAAAACCAATCGCTGAACAAAAAAAACGATATTTCAATTACAAATTTTCAATCTATTTCGGCCATTTTTGTGTTCGAAATATTTTTTCAGTAACTTAAATTTTTTCCCACATATTTCAAGTCTTCTTTTTTTTTCTACCTTGTCTTTTGGATAATTGGAAAGTAATTAAGATGGATGGAAAAAGTCGCAACGTCTGGCCGTTCGAGGTACAACTTGGCAACACTGATTCACTCAGTTATTATGTTCCTTCCCATAGCGAATTATTTTAATATTTTCAAATTTCAACTAAGATAATAAAATCATAGGAACAGAGAAATGCAAATTCAAATAACATTAAAAAATATTATAAATGTAATGATTGTCGATTAATCGATGAATCGCATCAAAATAGAAAACGTTTCGCTTTGTCGCCTCTCCCCCAGGTGTCGTTTCCAGGACTTCCCATGAATTCTTCGCAACTCGTCAAGTTGAAGCTTATGACCCCATTCCATCAACCTTCCAAATTAAATTTACCAGAACAGATCCACGCACGACGAAAAAAGATACCCAACCATTACAACACGGAAATCAGATTTTGTTTGCAAGCTCCTGTAATTGAGGCGTATGCCCTAGTACTCGTAGTACTGCCCCCACCCCGGGATTACCCCTAGTGAAGCCCTTGAAATTCATGCTCACTCACTTGTAGTAAAAGATAGTATTTCATCATTCTGTTATAATTCATATAATAACAAATCCACTTGTACAGAAGATTCTTTATTTCATCATTCTCTGGAAAAAAACTATTATGTATTTACAGTCCGTCTGGAGGGAAGGTAAAATGTTGCATCTTCACAAAGTCGTGTGGATTGTGGCGAAAAATCGCGTAACTGGTTGATTTTGAACATCTCACACACAAAAAAATGGATAGAAAGATCCAACGAATTTGCTAGAAACCTCTATTGAACATTCTCTTACACTGAGAAATCGAAAGTTTTTTTGATTAGTACATTTGTACTTGTCTCAAGACACTCATGGCTCAAAAATTGACAAGAGGAAAATTTCTTACACTGAGAAAGGATAACTTTTGTCGAGAAATTTTATAGTTGCCCCAAAAACGAGGATAATTTGTTTATAATAAGCAAATAAGTAAATTTTTCAAGTCAAGTCTAGTTCTATCAATATCATTGTTCAATAATTTTGGAAAATTATGAAAATAACTATCGAGCGACTTTTAAAAACTGAAAAACAACTTTGTAGTCAACCCATTTTACCCATTTTTTGCCTTACGGCCGGAATGACAAAAACAACTTTTCGGCCTTGTGACGAAAAGTGTTTTTTGACTTATGGCAGGTTTATAGCACGTGCCGACGGCGAATGATATAATTCGACGAGCCAAAAAACACTTTTTCCATGAGTATCGAATGGTATTTTTTGTAATACCTGCCTCAAAAGTTCACTTTTCGAAACCGTTTAGTGTGTGTAAAATGGTTGTTTTACGCACACTGTGCACGAAAGCAACCACTCTACCCCCACTACGATTCCGAACAGTGAACTCGGCAAGTATTACAAAAAATAGGATGTGTTACGCGTCGGTGCGAAAAAGTGTTTCTTTACGCACTTGTAACATAATATACTATTACAGTAACAATAAACTTTGTAGATTAAACTAGGATTCATCGTTCGATTTACTATGTCAAATAGTGTCATCGACATTATGATGTAATTTTCACTTTAAGGCAATAGTTGAATCTACAATGTTTATTGTTCCCGTAACTATAATTTTTTCGACAATTCCCTTGTAGTTGAAATTGCCAATGAAATTTCTCTCAGTGTAATAAGTCGAGAAGTTTCTGTAACATTTTACTTCTTCAGAAAAAATTACGTGGCAATTTCTTTACTTTGTTCGGTGATGAATCTGCAAATTCACTGAACGTTTCAGATTTCTTCTCTTCCATTCCTATAAAAATTGACGGAAAACGAATCCCCATTGCGGATTATGTGAATTGTTCCGTAATTTTTACTGAATATTTCCACGTACGACAAAATTTAACAGAAAAACTTATCGAATTCGTTAGAAAATTCTATTGAATTTCTATCAAACTTCCTATTAGTTTTTGGCTGATTCTATTGACATGTTCAATAGAAAACATTCAATAGAAAAAGTCAACAGAATTCGATTTTTCTATATAACTTACGCTTTTCATAGATTTTCCATAGAATTTGCTCGACTCAAATTTTCTAAGTTTTTTTCATTCTATTTTTCTTTTCTTCTCATCAAGAAAATCAAACGAAAAAATTTGAGCCGAGGAAATTCTGTAGAAAATATATCAATAGAATGAGTTAAATAGAAAAATTGAATTCTATTGACTTTTTTTACTGAATATTTTCTATTGAACATTTCAATAGAATCAGCCAAAAACTAATAGAACAGTTCAATAGAAATTCAATAGAATTTTCTAACGAATTCGATAGGTTTTTCTATTAAATTTCTTCGTACGTGTCTCTCCGTGTAATATAATTTTCAGTGCAAATCCAATAGAATTTTTTTTGTGCGTATAATTGCGAATTCAGTTGATAATCATTGATTTTAAGAAAATAAAAGACAAAAGGTTCAAACGAGTTTTCACCGCAACCCACAATAGATAATGTAAAAAAAATCGCGATAACTTTCATCCTGAAATGACAAAATTGGCATTGCGTTGAAATCAGAATGGCCCAAAATTTACAAAAAATCTACAATGATCAAATAAATAATAATCAACCGAGAATTATTCCTTCAATCAATCAATTAAAAGTAACGTATACGTCATGTGGTATTGTATTGGATTAACTGCCTAGTGATTCCAAGCTCAATTTATTCAACTCTTATTCTCGTCTCTTCATCTCATTTATTTAACGAAGGCTGGCAGAATCTTTTTCGCGCCCACCAGATCGTCGCCAGTGCAGCAGCCAAGAATCCAATTCCCGCGACAATGCCCATCGAGATTGCCCTGTTCCTTCGATATGCCGGCACTTCTAATGTAAATTGCTCACTAGTTGCAACATCCTCGGTTCTGGAAATTGCTGATACTTCAAATATGTAGCTCGTGTCCTCTTCTAACGTTTTAACTGCAAAGTGAAGATTTAACTATGTGAATTTATTATTGAGAGATAATTTCAAAGGTAAACATAAAGTGTTGAGTCGTTATTAGCGGCAATTATCGCGAGTTTTTAGAGGGAAATTATGGAGGATTTGGTTACAAAGGTTGAGGAAAATGAATCATTCTGTTAAAGGAGATGTTAAACCGTTTTGTGCACAGATAATTACTTTCTTCAGTTTTATCTCGCGCACAATGTGAGAAAAAAATTTGCTCTGCCGAAAGATTATATGCTCCACGTAAGAATATTTGATGGAATGAACAGATTCACTCGAGGGAAATTAATCAACTTGATACACACAGAAAAACCTAAACGTAAATTACGTTTAAGAAGTCGTCTTTTACGCTTCCTGGAGCGTATTTTACTGCAAATTATGATTACATAAACGTAATTTATGATTTCGTAGTCGTAAATTACGCTCAAAGTTGCAGTAAATTATGATGATTGTTTTCGTATTGTACATTTCAGTAGCGAAGTGGTAAAACGGTACAAGTCAATTTTGACTATTGACCAGTTTGCAATGAATATCTCGGAATCTACGAGAGATAGCACAATTGTTGTCATAACCTTTTTTGTAGAGCCGATTGAGTGCTATAACAAATGTGGTTATGAAAATTTCGCTATCTCCCTTAGATTCGGAAATATTTCTTAAAAACTCAATGTGGAGATAAGTCGACTTAATTATATACATCCGTAAAATGAAATCGGGGGCAAGTGAAGGGCGCAGTGTCATTAGGCGGGCAGAAAATACAGAATCAACGTTCACTCGGCGGACAAATTCGATTTTGGCAAAAGTCGACTTTCCCCCCGAAAAAAGCCTAAATATGGCACTTTGGCTGCGGGTGAAAAAAACAATTTTTTATTTCTGCATTTCTGGGGCAAGTGAGGGGCGCAGTGGCATTAGGCGGGCCAGAAAATACAGAATCAAAGTTCACTCGGCGGAAAAATTCGATTTGGTCGACAGTCCACTTTCCCCTGAAAAATCCAATATGACACTTTGGCCTCCGAGTGTTTCATTAGCATCAGAAACGTTAATCGTTATAAAAATTAAGGAATTTAATCGAAATTAACTTTCATTTTTGAGGCCTTGCAGAGGCTCGAATAAGCCTTGACGTACTGAGCCTCAATACTCAAAGGCTGGGCTAAGCCTGAATTGAACCTCGGCAATGACCCCTTGAATCGCCCTCATTTCAGGCTCGAGTGAACGATGAAATCAAGCCCGTCCCAGGCCTGAGTCACTGACCCTCGCCAAACCTAGGCTCGCACAGGCTTGTTTCCATCGTCAGCCTATATAATTCCTACCTGGGCTCATGCCCATGCCTGTGACTGAAATTTCAAGAAATTTTCAACTACTCGCAGCAGTGTCAAAAAAATATTATTCTACACATGTGAGACGGGAATTTTCAGCTCGTGAAAATACTATTACTTCCGTTCAATGCTCTCAAAGCCACAGATTGAGATAGAATAATGAATTAACCTAAGTAAAATGTATCGACGGTCTCGGCTCTCCCATAGAGTGTCTCTGCAGGATCGCGAAACCATCTGACCGTGTAACTCTTGATCATGTCCTTGCCGTCAACCGGTGGCTCCCACGTTACCAAATAACCCTCACCGGTCACTTGGACTCGAACGTTTCGTGGGGGTTCCACATTCGTCTCCTCGTCTGGGCGACAATTATCAAAGAAAAGATGACTTGGACAGATTCAGGATCAATAATAAAGGGAATATACCTTGTGTACTCCGAAATTCCGAGGCTGAATTGCGATCTAGTGATCCTGGAAATAATTCAATCGGTCAAATAAACATGATGATTATTTTAATTTTATCCCGATTTTTTAATGTTGCTTTCGAATGTAAGTACTGAATTCGTAAGATTCGAAATTTCCTATTTTTAGTGTCAGGATAACTAATTTTGGTCTCAAAAGTTCGAATGTGCGATTTTCAGATCATGTTCGGATGTATGTATGTGACCGATTGATTTTCGATGATTAAAAAAATAATTGCTTAACTGAATCCAATGAATCCAATTCAATGAATCATTGAATTCAATTAAAAATACATTTCGGATTTTTTATAAAACCGGAGAATTTACTTCAACATGGATGAGCAAAATTAATAGAAAAACCTAGCGAATTTGCTAAGCAATTCTATTGGACTTCTATTCAACTTGCTATTAGTTTTTGGCCGATTCTATCGAAATGTTCAGTAGGAAATATTCTTTGGAAAAAATCAAAAGAATTCGATTTTTCTGCAGGAATTATTATTCATCTCCTTAGTTAATATTAAGGAAGGAGGATCATGGGAAATTTGGAAAAAACAATAAACTGCACTAGATTTTTGTCAATTCGCGAAGTTTCGCTTTCAATTTAAGCTTCCTCAGGCCTCTGGAAAACAACCAAGTTCAAAACAAACACATCAATTAATAAAATACTACGAAACATACATTAATGAACGTCAGAAATCAAGTACATTTGTAAACAAAAGTAGAGACTGACAGCCGTAAGTCCGTCAGTCGCCTCCTTGCGGCTGTCCGTCTCTACTTTTGTTTACAAATGACAATAATCTAGTGCAGTTTATTATTTTCTCCACATTTCCCATGATTTTACTTCCTTAATTTTTCTGTAGAATTTTCTCCGTTCTGATTTTCCAACGAATTTGCTAGATTTTTCTTTCAACTTCCTTCATCCGTGAATTTTTCAGAAAAATCTAGAATTTTCTAGAGCTCTGACAGATAGCACTGGCCGTTAGCCGTAACTTCGCGAATGGCCCCAATTGAAACAGTTAATTTTTCCCTGGACTATACAGCCCTCGCTGTTATCAATGACTAAAGTTCAACCTGTTTTAGTATTCTGCGTGAGTACACGAATACTTTTGCTGAACATTCCATCCCCGTGCTTATCCTGACTCAGAACCATAAACTCGTACTCTCGACCTGGCGAGAGATTAGGGATTGTTGCCTCGGTTATCTTCTTGGACGGTATCTTCATTGTCTTCCACTCGGAGGTATCCGTGGGTCTGTACCTAATTTCGTCACAACGAAAGACTATTAGTCAACAGTAAGATTGCAATCAGTGAAATGAAAAGAATGATAGACAACAACTAAAACTCAACTCAAATTGTTCCGAATCTAAGGGAGATAGAGAAATTTTCGTAATTACATTTATTGTAGCACTCAATCGGCCCCACAAAAAAGGTTATAACAAAAATTTTGCTATCTTCCTTAGATTCCGAGATATTGATTGAAAACTCGTCAATAGTCAAAATTGACTTATCTCCTTTTACCACTTTGCTACTGAATTATATTCCAATAAAAAAAATTATATTGGTATTTCTTTTTAATGTTTCCTTATGTTTCTCAATGTGATGTACGGAAAGCTCAATTTAAACATCGGCTTCATTCGAGAAAACAACATGCATTTCATTCCTCAATGCAATCATCTCCTAGGTAAGAATTTTTTATCAATTCATGAAAGTAGAAAATTTCTCGACTGAGCATTATATTAGGTTAAAAAAATAGAGCTTTTCCATTTTTGTGGTGAATACATGTGACTTGACGCCAAGGACTGTTGATTCATTTGATTCAAATAAATGTATCTCAAGAAAGAAATAATTGACATTCACGGCTAGATCTCATTTATCTGAAATTGATTCAAGTTTTTAATACTTGTTTTAAGAAACAAACATCTCAACAAAAATAATTTTCCCTATCAGTGTAAACTCTGAAGGGGAATCCCCTCAGAAAAAACATCCCGAACTACTTGGATATCCTTAAGATACTTCCTCAGTGAGTTATACTTGGTGAAAATTTCGCAATGAACTGAAGATCTAAAATTTGGATCATATGTTGCTGAGCATATGTGAAAACGATTTCCAAAATGTCAAGTATTTTTTCTATGCGAATTTTTCGGATATGCATTGACAAAAACTGAAAAAAGACAAAAATTGAATGTTTGACGCTGGATATCTCAAAAATTCGCGTGGAAAAAATACTTGAAATTTTGGGAGTCATTTTTACACACTGAAAGAAAAATATGATTGTTCTGACTATATTCCACCACCATCGCACTATAGTCAAAAAGTCCTCAACAATTTCTCATGGGTTGCGGTAACTATGGCCGGAGAAGTAATTACTACAATGGAATGTAGTCATTGCTACTATTTTATAGTTCTATTCACGATAGATTTATTGTGGTTACTTTTGAACTTTGGTTAGTTTAACTGCATTTTGATTTTCAAAAATTACGCTTGTGAAATTACTACAATGTTATGTGCCGCATACAAAAAAAAATCGTGTCGACACCAAAACTACCTCAACTATTTTCTTATTGTAAATCGAACTTCAGATTTTTCTCTCAGTGCATGTCCTCAACAACATATGATCCACATTTTAGGTCTTCAGTTCATTGCGAAATTTTAACCAAATATAACTCACTGAGGAAGTACCTTAATACCCTTGAGACTTCATGCATTCGAAAATAATCTTACCAAACAGCATATTCCATTTTAGGCCTCACGTATCCAGGCACCCACGTTAATGTAACCGAATTTCTACTACTATTAGCATTGAGATTGTATGGGGCTCTGGGTGGAACATTGAGCACCATAAGTTCAGCGTCAGCAACAATAGTGGCAGCCTCATTGCTCGCTGCACACTGATAAAGACCCCTGTCTTGCTCCTGAATTCTTTCGATGGTCAAATTTCCACCCCTGAGAATAGCACGTTCCTGCGGGAGAGGTGAACCGTCCTTCTGACCGAAGGCTGTGTTAGTTTTGTTCCAAATATTTGTCTTCTAATATTTTTGCATGTTTCAACGTTAATTAACTCAAATTATTAATTCATTCTCCATTATTCTATTTTTTTTTATTAGTCAATAAGTTTTGCTTTGAATAATTCACCTTGGAATTGTGAGGAATGTTTATTTCACGGATGTACAGCAGAGAATAGGATCAGTGAGTGACTATTAAAATTCTCAACTAAAGATATTATTGGAGATCATCGCTCAACCGTAAAAAGTTATATTAAACGGGAAACATACTTTAAACCAGACGATTGTTGGCCGTTGGGACTGATCGCCGTCGCGGGCGTCGCAGGGAATTTCCAGGCTTTCGCCGAGTTTTCGCATGTAGAGACGTTGGGGTGTTACGGTGAATACTGGGGGTCTCTGGACGATCTAAACATTTTTTGAGGAGAATAACTATTAGATTGAATTATGTTTCGAGTCCCCGAGGAGAATCAATAAATGATATCATTATAGATCATTCTCAAGTCTATATTCATGGAAAAATTAATGAAATTCGATTCACAAAAGCGAATGCCTGAATTTCACACACCATTTGTAGACATTTTTCAGACATTAAAAAATGTCTGAATAAAATGAAAATGTCTCCGAATTTAAGACGAACAGGTGCCCAAACATCTGAATTCATGTTCCAAATTCAGACAAATTGTTCTTTTATTCAGACGTTTTTTAGTGTCTGAAAAATGTCTACAAAAGGCGTGGGAAATTCAGACGTTCGTTTTTGCTGGGTTGATGCCTTACAAGTAAACTTCGCAAAAAAAATCATATTCTGACCTTTTAGATCATATTTAGTTTCTGAATTTACTGAACGTATCAGATTTCTTCTCTTTCATTGCTATAAAAATGACCGGAAAACGCTTCCCCATTGCGGATTACCTAAATTGTTCCGTAATTTTTACTGAATATTTCTCTCTGTAGAAATCCATTAGAATTCCCGATGCAATTTTTTTTCATACGTTTTTAATTGCAATTCCCCTCTTCATTCTCCCAAAACTATAGTTAACCCACATAATACCATTTACGCAATTGAAATAAATAATTTTACCCGGTGCACTTGAATCAAACAATTCAAATAAAATTAATGTACAGCGTAAGTCGGCATTCAGCATTTGCAATCAGATTGGCGAATAATGGGCACCAACTGGCAAATCGTCTCAACAGTCGCTCTATTTATCGGACAATACGACTATTTATATATTCATGAATTTACCACTGAAATTGAAGGACTGGGGCCCTCGGTACCAAGTTCATTGTACGGTGTGCAACTGTAGCTTCCGGAGTGAGTTTCGTCGACTTTGCTGAAGTATAATGAACCGTTTCGTCGGTAGAATACACCGGGCACGTTGTAGGGATCGAAGAGAAAGCCATCTTTCTCCCATCGTAAATTCGTCAGTGGAGGATTTGCCCGGAAGTGACAGTCGAGGAGGGCTGACTTGCCGTAGGGGAGGAAGACTTCTCGGGGGGCATAGATGACCTTCGCCTTGTCTGAAATCGGTTGAAATGATTTATTGTTTTTTTTTTAAATTTATTGTTGGGATTTTTGAGTTACGTCAACCGAGGAGGTTCAGATAAAACTCAATATGACGAAGCATTTTTCTCAACTGTACTGAGATACTTTTGACTTTTGTCCCGAAATTTTAAGGGAGGTCACACCGCCCACCTAAGGGGAAATGCCAGTTTTATATTTTATATTTCAACTTGAGTATAAAAAACGTATTTGTGAGACTTCTTTAACTATTGAACTCGTTATTCTCGAAGTGTAGACGCCTAATTCTCCTTAGAATCCACAAAATTGATTGAAAATAAAAGAGGGAGCCTATTGAGCGGTACTACCCGCCATCGGGTAATACCGCTCGGCACGATTCCAATGCCGCTCATAGGGTTTTGCGTGTATCGCTCGCGCCGCAACCTAACTTGTCACTCGAGTGCTTCGAGCAATTACGTGGCCGATCCTATGAGCGGTATTACCGGCTTCCGCTCGGCGTCAACAAAATTGTTGATAATTATTGACATGAGTGGAGTTTTGAGTTCGAATTGGTCTCAAATTACGCGTGAAAGTACCACGAATCGAATAACCACAGTTTAATATGAGAATTCAACGTTTGAAACTATCAAAAACCTTAATTAAAAGTCCACAAATTTTGCACTGTAAAGACCTCAAAACTTCGTTACGTGTTTTTTCATATTTAAAGTGGTAAATAAAGTGAAATTTTTCCGACAATCACATCCTATCATCAAATTCGTCATGATCAGGAACAGAACGAAATTTTTAAGCTGATGGTTGCGGAGAAAATCGGGTGAGCGGTATTACCCGCTGAGCGGTACAGGCACACCCTCCCCTACCACAAATATTTGATGGGAAAGAAAATTGAAATTTTCAAGTCTATATAACAATAAACGTCATTAAAATTCAGACAACTGTTGTTTCAAGTTCTGAATGTCATATTTAATACTCAAATAATTTGAGCATTTTTATTATCCAAAATCTTTCTTAATATCTATATTTAAATGTCAGACATTTAGTGATGTTTTTGTCATGATTTAGCTTTCAACTCTGAAGTCGATTCTTCAATTTGAACTTTGATAATCTCAAAGCGTGAAGGAATAAGGGAAAACATTACATTGAACATTCAAGAAAGCCGATGCTGACTGCTGATCCCCAAGAACATCAGTCACCACACACGAATATTCTCCTAAATCACCGATTGCTGCAGGACTTATTATCAATGTGCCATTCTCGTTTACCGTTATTCTGCCTGTGAGTTCCTGAAAAATCATGAAAAAAATTGATACAAAACGTAGTAGTGGAGATGTACGACAGGAGAAGTCAACATCTTTTGAAAAAAAAATCGATAGATTTTCATTTCTTCATATGTGACACTTCAAAATTTCAATATTTTTCGCATTACGAAGCATTAATAATTTACTTTTACAATGAGAAATTATGCAAGGCTACAACAAGTAATCTATTCAATAGAAAAAAATAATTTGGCCAATAATAACAGTCAGAGTTCTTCAATCAGAAAAACTCAATAACTTATGAGAATGCAATAAATTGAGTCATTTACAATTTTTCCCGCAAATCCATAAGGACTCACTTTCGGGTGGTATCGTCTCGGGAACTTAAGGTATTCATGGCGTAGTCAGGGGGGGTCGAAAAAAAGTCACGAAATTGGTAATTTTTTTTATACATTCTTTAATTTTTTCAAAACCCCCATGCAAAATTCCAGATAGCCTAGGAGAATGGGTGAAACGCAGAAATTTTTCTACAAAATGCATTTTAACACGGGCTCTTAGGGGAATTCGAAAAAAATATATTAAAAAGAGAAAAAAAAGTCGCCATTTTGCTGAAATTTGGCACTTGGGTGGAGCTGTCATGGAGGAACATCAAAAAATCTGCGGGTGGCTATATTTTTGATAAAGCCGTAATTTTATGTGGATGCGTCTATGGTCTTCACATCTAAAATTTGTGATCCACAAATTTTATCTGTTTCGTGCAATAATAAGCAATTGTCGGTATATTACCAACCAGCGCTAAGGTTCCCTCAAAATTGCAATCTATTTAAAAACTCGAGAATTTTCTCGAATTTTCTAGAAAAATCTGGAACTGGCCTGAAAAATCTAGAATTTTCTAGAAAATTTTAGAATTCCGATAGATCGCGCCACTGACGATAAGGAACTATAAGGACTTTTTCCCGAAATGCCCCCCATAATGAAAACAGACGTATCGACGTCAATAATCCAAGTGGTTTAGGAGAATTGTTTAGAAGGGATAATTAAAAAACTCGTGAAAAATAGGAATTCTGCGTGCGCAACGTGGAATAGCGACAATGTCGAGGTTAGGAATTGTGGAGGGGCAAGCGCAGCAAATACGAATGGAGTTGTGATGATACATTTCGCTATGGGAAGGAACATAACAGCTGAGTTAATCAGTCCTGTCAACTTGTACCTCGAACGGCACGACGTTGTCACTTTTTCTATCCATATTAATTATTTTCCAATTATCCAAAAGACAAGCTGGAAAAATAAAACAAGGCTTGAAATATGTGGGAAAAAATAGAAAAGTCATTACAAAAATATTTCGAACACAACAATGGTCGAAATAGATTGAAAATTTGTAATTGAAATATGTTTTTTTTTGTTCAGCGATTGGTTTTCTGCGAGAGAACAATAGATTCTCCTTCGTCTCACGTCTTACATGGCCACCACGCCATAAATACCTTAAGCATCTTAACGTTTGACATTGGACGTCGAGTTCTCGCATTGTTTTTGTAATTTTTTTTTTGTCCGTAAGTTCCTGCCTTACAATTTTTTTTTTGTTTTCGACTGCACTATTAGAAAATTACTCTTGAAATTTCAAGTGAATAAGCTTGAAATTTTTAGCAATGACAAAGTTACGTGAAATTTCTGTAGAATTCTTTATTGACGAATCAGTTAATTTCTTGAATATTCAAGTAATTTTCGATTTTCAGGTACATACGGCACTGAAAAACCTTGAAAATTTTGAAAATTCAAGCAATAACTTCTCTGAATTTTCAAACTATTGAAAATTCAATTGTATGTAGTGTTCAATTTTCACGATGAGTTTAAAAATTCAAGCTTTCAATGAAAAATCAATGATTCTTCAACATGAAAAACCCAATTTTTTTGAATTTTCAAGATGAATGAGAAATTTAGTGAACGTTTTAAGGGGAAATGGAACCCCTGCGTTTATATGAATCTTTAGAATTGTGTTTTCTCCTGCAATTATTATTTGTTATTCATTCAACTACTTCATTGACTCAACAATGCGATAATCGATTCGATAAAGTAATTTCATAGATAGCAATTAATAATTGTAGGAGAAAACACAATTCTAAGATTTGATGTAGACAAAGAGGTTCCGTCTCCCCTTAATTTGAAATCGAATTTAAACTCACAATGAAAATTCAGATGACATTGTGACTGAAATTTCAAGAAATTTCTAACAGTGTGGTCAGGATCATATACTACCTCAATCTGTTCGATCTCAAGACCATCCCGCAGCCAATTAACAACAGTGCTGCTATCCTTCGTGATGCACTCAAATTCCACAATCTCTCCCTCCATAGCTGTTCTATTAACGGGTGGTACAGCGAGAAGATTTTCACCTACAACATTGTCGCCCGGTCGCGACACACCTGGGTTAAACAATTTAACGAGTCTGTCCTATTTACGGTTAGTACAGTGAAGGTAATTCACAAGTTTCATTCAACCCAATTAACACGTTATTTCCTCCGGCATGAGTCATTCACTGAAAAGTTCTGCATAATTTCAGGGTGAAAATGCTGAGCAAAATATTTTTATTAGGATTATTAAATCTAATAGAACAATAAGTTCAGTCAAATTTTTCATTGAGTAAGTGAGATAAAAATATAGTTAGATGAATGAAGCAGAATGAATGGGGGAATTAGATTCGTAGTCCAGACGTGAAACTTGATAGGTTACACTTTACAAACTAATGAAGAGTGAATTTATCTAACAAAGTGATTTTATATGAGAGAATTTCAAGAGACAACGTACGACAAAGTTTAACAGAAAATCGTAGCGATTTCTCTAAGAAATTCTATTGAATTTAAGTTGGAATTCTCTTAGAATTCCATTAGAAAATTCTATTAGTTTTTTGTGGCAATTCTACTAAAAATTACGTGAATTTGAATTTGTATTTTCTGTGAATTTTCATGAAATAGTGCCCGGCGCGGATGAGAATTCATTGCATTTTAATTCAGTAGCGACCCGGAAAAACGGTTGAAGTCGACTTTGACTATTGGCCAGTTTTCAATGAGTATTTCGAAATCTAAGGGAGATAGCAAAATTTTTGTTATAACTTTTTTTGTAGCCCTCAATTCGCTCTATAAAAAAGGTTATTACGAAAATTTCGTCATCTCCCTTAGATGCGGAGATATTCCTCGAAAACTCAGCCAAGGGCTAAAGCGAATTAACCCCTCAAGAACGGCGCCCATATCCCGCGGGGTACTCGAACTCGCTGTTCAATACACGACAATTTGTACACTGATGATCAAAAAAACATCATCTAAAATTGAATGGTAATCTTGAGTTTTCACCAATATTGTTGTTCAATTGCGGTATTCTTTATAGTTTTTTCTGGAATTTTTAAGACTAATCTCAATTCCATAGTACAAGCGGTTGCCAAGATCGGCGACTGTCGGAGATTTGTTAATAACAAATCAGTAATTCATTGAATCGAAATTTCGACAAAGGAATGTATAAAGTATGTTCGGTAAAAATTTCAGAATTTTTTATGAAAGTTAGCTCGATAAACGAGAGGTTTGAATATGCATCTGACATCGAATTCAGTTCCGTATTGTTTATGTATTGACGAAAAATATTAAAAATAACTTGAAACAAAAATTGATCATTCTGTTGATAATTTTATCTATTTCATGGGGAAATTTTTAGAATTTCGATATCTACAATAGTACGAAAGATAATGAATTTTTATTAATCACTTGAAGGGTCTGTATAACACATAGAGGCCGACCGGTAAGACAAACTCTCGGGTCTATATGTGGCATGGACGCCGTACTTGAGGAGTTGAACCATTTACCGCCTCGTTACTGAATTATATCACTCGAGTTACTCATATTCATACAAGCATTGCGCGAGAAAAATTTTCTCAGTCGATGAATACCTTCGATGCTGAGATGAAACCAAGTGCCATTATTCCTTGAGCTGGGAGATCTGTCTGGAAATACAACCTTGCACTCGTACCATCCCTGATCGCTCTCCCTGATATTCGTGAGGTTAATGCTCCCGTGTCCATAATCACTGGATAGATTGTCCTCGAGCAAGTGTATTCTACCTGAATAGTCATCAGCAATGGATAGTATACTATTCGCCTTCTCATTGCCTGGTACTTCGTACCAGGAGAATACGGTTCTTCCCTATTCGAATAAGAATTTTTATTTTTTACGTATTATCGAACAAATAGTCCGTATTCAGCAGTAGCAAAACAGAATAAATTAATTCCACTTGAAGAATATCACGGAATCTGAGAGAAGTGTCGGTTTTTATGAAGACACGAGAGAAAAAATTAAATGAAAAATTGTTGTGAATTTGCTGGAGAATTCTATTGAAGATTTTATACTTGTTGCACATTTTTTATAATAGAATAAATATTTAGCTCGAAAAAAGAAGCAAAAGAAGAAGAAGATTTTCATTTTTAATCCAAATTTGTTACACCTGAATTGGTTGTTACACCTGAATTTTTGTGTTTTCTGATTTAAAAAAAAATAAAGAAAAAATCTAAGGGATTTTGTGCACAGAAATGTAAATTTAGTGATTTTTTAATATCGAATATTTGTGGATTGAGGAAAATGTTGGGTAAAATTGGAAATTTTCAACATAAATCAGCGAAGAAGTAAAAGACAGGAATGGCCATCAATCTTTCGATTCTTCAATATAAAAAGAATTTCTCACTTACAATAATCAAGGTTTAAATGTGCTAATCGGAATTTAAAAATAGTAAAATGATTGATAATCTAAAATTCCAATTGATGATAAGGGATTTCCGATTATCCAAATAATCGCCAATCATTTTAACTTAATTACTGATTAATGAATAATTCAAAATTTTACTATTTAAATTAATGATTACTTCAATAATTAAAATTTTAAAGTGATGTTAATTAATTGACGGCTTAATAATTTAACAGTAATTATAATCTGTGGATATGGCTATCCCTGCTAATAAAATTTCAAATTTTTCGGGCATATGCACTACCATTTTCTGTTGAGTTTTCTCAGCAGTGGATCGTTTTATGTCTTAGATTTCGAAATATCTTCCTGAAATTGACCCTAAGGTTAAAATAATTTATCCCGTTTCACCACTTCATTACTGAATTCGTCAGAAGATTGAAAAACAGGTTTTAAATTTCATAATATCTCGAGTCTGTGGGATCCGATATCTGTTGGAGAATAAACTGGCTCTAATGTTTTACGTGATAAACATAAAATAAGGTTTAGATTACCTAATTTATTCGATCACTTTCTACCCCAGAATCTTCTACCTCTTTTCCAATTCGTAATAAATTTATTTATATTTAAAATGTTCCAAAAAATCAATTTCCTTGCAAAAAAAAATTAAGTTCACGGAAGTTTGAATATTTTTCAAACCAAAACATTGAGAAAGTTTTTGAAAAACGAGTAGGCAATTTCATTTTCTTAGAAATGAGTAGAGTTATTGTTGCTAATAAATTAGCGATTTGCGCTCGAATGGGTTATCTTTTTTGAATTTTTATTTCACTGTTCCCATCGTTACTTGCAAACTTAATAGAAATCAGGAAATTTTCGGTAAATATAATCTTGAATTTTCAATTAATTGGAAATTCGACATTATTTTAACACGAAACATTCATTTTTTCGTAGAAAATTCTAATAGGTTGTTTAATTCTTGTCTTAATGCTGCCTAAAAATTTAGAATTTTTGTGAAATCCGAAATTTTATAATTCTCTCCCCTTACATCGCATTCAATATTTATCTTCTGAAAATTACTAACCGGCTGTATATGAAATTTTAAGGACACGAGCCGTTTGCTCATAAATCGAGTGAAATAATTAAGTCTCTCCCGTTTTACCTCACGAGAATCAAATTTCGTCATGGTCATGGTTATTTCGGCACCTATTAATTAATTATTTTCAATAATACTAGACTAAGAATTGAGCGCTACACGGAGAGAAATATTCAGCAAAAATTACGGAACAATTCACGTAATTCGCAATGGGGAATCGTTTTCCGGCGATTTTTATAGGAATGGAAGAGACGAAATCTCAAACATTCAGTGAATTTTCAGGTTCATCACCGAACAAAGTACGAAATTGTAATTTTTTCCGAAGAAGTAAAATTTTACAGAAACTTGCCGACTTAAAAAATTCTTGATCGTTCGACAATTTTTATGAAGCTGGTGAGTTATTTCTACGTTCCGTTCCGTAAAATTTCTCAATCATCAGACGGGTGGTTAATTTTTACAGAACAAATCGTAGAATTTACGTGGCGATTCGTACAATTTCACTTCCGACTCACACTTTTTATTGAATTTTACTTCGTTCGCGGATTACGTTTCGAAACGTAATTTTTACCTTTTTTTCTGGTAATTTTTATTGAATTTTTCTCTCCGTGCATTCAGAGCTAAAAAAATTATGAGAAATTGTGAATAGCCCTCTATTGGTCAATGCGAAACACAAAATAAAAGATTCAGTATCCTTTCGTCCACTCGGCATTGACTTGAATCTACTCATCCCAGTGAGAATTCCCATTTAATGCAATTAGAACCGAAAAAATAGTGCAGGAAGAAATCAAGTGGGGAAATCACGAGAGCAACTCGAGTTTCATAGTTGAAGAGACACATAATACCCGTTCATTGTCCCATTAACAGTGACAACACTTGAGGCATGCACGCAACCGGCATCTGCAGCACTTACTGCGTATGCAGATTAGGGAAGACTATATATGAAGTCTGCCCCGGTTAATCTAATGGGGGATTCTAATCGCTCATCATTCAGGACATTCTGCATTATTATTAGACCCAGTGCTACCGGTGAAAATCAGAGTGTCTTCCTGTACACTCAGGGGGAAAACAAAATAATACCACAAAACTAGTCTCTTGAGTCTAATGTGACGTGTTCAGGACTTGAACATGACCACTTGACGATAAATTGAGAATTATTAATATTATAGAACTTCCCCGAAAATGAAAACGGGAAATTTCATGATATGTTCATGTCTCATATGGCCTCTACACTGAGAGACAAATTTCCTAATGCACTGTTAGAAATTTTTTGAAATTTCATGCCCGAGTGAGTGACGTTTGTGAAGTTTCAAGTTTTAAGTAGAATTCACGGAAATTCATGAGTTCTCAGTGGGAGTGAAATGGAAATTTCATAACTTGATTGAATTTCCAGTGGAATACGATCATTCAGAAATAAAATTACACGAATTTTCTATTTTTTCCTGAATTTTCAGAACGAATTTTTCCAGGACAGTCATTTTCAGAGAGTCCAAGTCTATCCTCAAAAATTACAGTGATATTGAACAATCTGATTATTATGCTACATATGACCTTGACAAAATGTTCTCCGATATCTTCCGGATTTTACAAATTGGCGATTTTCTCAGGTAAAGAAAATTGGAATAATTCCAAATGTTAATAATTATTATTGGAGTTTCTTCGAGGTCATATGCAGAAGAATATTCTTATAGATCACCATAATTCTCACGCTTGGAACTGATTTCGGAGCACCTGGAAATGACTGGCCTGGAGAAATACGTTCCAAAAGAGATATTTTCTTCTACTAAGAGTATGAAAAAGATATCACCAATAACATTTTCTTGGAAGGAATAAATTTTTTTCTCAGTGTAGGGATTGCGTATAGAAATTCTATAGGATTTCCGTATATGATATTCGGATATTTCTATACGAATATTTTTTATAAGAATTATTTCTGTACATAAATTTTTGTTTTCATTCGAAAGATGTCTGAACGCTCCAGAGAAAAACGTAGAGAAATGTCGCAACTCCATACGAAATGTTTCTATACATGTGGCAGTGGGTCGCATATAGGATTAAACCTATAGAAATCGTATAGAAATAATTTTTATAAAAAATATCCGTATAGAAATATCCGAATAGCATATACGAAAATCCTATAGAAATTCTATACGCAATCCGTATAGAAAATTTCAATATGATTTTTTCATACGTGTAACCCCCATTTGGCCTATGGCTCGTGCGCTAGAACCCCGCATTTCATTATTTATTACCTCCTAAAATGTGTAGTACAGCTAGTTTTGTTCAGATTTTTTTTTCAAGATCTGGGGAATATTATCACCATTATCTATGAAAAAAATGGGGACAATCCTTAAAAAAACCTGTTCTCTAAGTATATACCTTGAATCGTTTTATACGAAGGAAATATTCAATAAAAATTACGTATCTCTTCCGGAATTCCAGAGCGAAATGTGGTTGCAGGAAATCTTACGGAACTGTCACGGAATTTTTCCAGAGCGTCCCGTAATTTTTATCTGAATCTCCAGTGAAAAATTACGATACCGTCACTTAAATTTTCTGAGTCCAGTCCGTAATCGGTGAGTGAATTGAAGTTCCGTAATTTTTACTGAATATTACTCTCCGTGTACCGCTTCACTTCTGCATTTTCTGAGCAAACAAAAAAGTAAAAAAACTCAACAGACGAAGTTGTATAGAAAAATCGAATTCTACTGCGGTTTTTCTATAGAAGATTTTCCATTGAACATTTCTATTGGAAAAAAACGTAGATAAACTCCGGAAGTTGTCAATACAATCGACCAAAAACTAACAGAAAAATCACTAGAAATTCAATTCAATTCTCCAGCGACTTCACTAGGTTTTTCTATAAAATTTCATCGCACGAACATCAATTGCAAGAAACCTTCAACTCTTACTTACTTCCCTGTTCCACGTTAAAATATAAGGTATCGGTATCTCATGCGGAAAATCAAGGTGGCAGTTGAACACAACGTATTCCCCAATGGAAGCTGTAAAATTCTTGGCGTCTTTCTCCTCCTCCAGAAGCATCCCATATCCCAGAGCTTCACAAGCCCCCGAAAAAAAAAAATTCTCCATGAGTAACTTAATCAAAAAAAGCCAAAGGACTGCGTCGTACCAAAAAACTCAATCGTCATCATATTCATGACTTCCGTCACCGAATAGACACCTGAGAGTCTAGAAATTCGACCCCTCCTCAGGTCTTATTTCAATACCTCATCAATATAACTCTTCCACATTACCTGAATAGCAGGCGCACAGGAGAGCGAATCCTCTCACCCATTTGCCAGCAATTTGCGTGGGAAAATCCATGATCGCGCGCAATGGCCTCTGTATTTACCCCCAAAAGTTTAAAAATCTCCAGGAGATAGTATCAAGCTCACATCTGCACGACCACTGTCACCTTCACTCTCACAATCACCCACCTGGGTTGACGACTCCACTCAAATCATTTTTCTGTCTCAAAATCCAATCTCTGACTCCGGAAAATCAGAAAAAAAAAACAAATATCAGAAAACTTGTGTTCTCATAATATCAAATTACTTCCTATTGTTGTCTGTTATTTATTTTTAATCGGATTAAAGAGTTGTCAATGGGTCAATTAATGAACTCTTGGTGCAATTACTGCTGGCAGTGATTGAGTGAAACTTTTATGATGACGATCCACCGTTAGCTACGTCCAATTGCGTGAAAAAGTCCTCAGTATAGACACGGAGTGGCTCACTCGGAGTGATCGAGGAGCGGTGGAGATAAACCAAGTAATTGTTGCACTCGTCCGCAGTCAAGCGGATACAAAATCGTGACAAGACGAGGGTGGGGATGGGAATTAATTCTGATACATGTTATGGGCTTGCCCCGTACAGGGCCAGCATTGTTGGTGAGGGCGCGGTGAGGACAATCAGAATTGGGACGGATGGCTCAGGTGTCCGCCAACTGATCCGAACAATTGGAGTATTTTTTTCCCGAGAGAATCTGAATTGCGAAATTTGTGAGACTAGAACAGGGTGCGGGGCGTTCTGAAGAGATAAAAGCACCTTGGAAGAAAATTCATAGAAAACCTAGCGAATTGAAAATTTTTATTAAATTTGGAATAACAGCTTACACTGTTAGGAATTTCTTGAAATTTCGGTCACAACGTCATCTGAATTTTCGATGTTGTGACGTTGAATTCAATTTCAAATGAAAACGCGCATTAAATTTCTCATACGTCTTGAAAGTTGAGCATCACATACAATTCAATTTTCAATAGATTGAGAATTTAGAAAAGTTATTGCCTGAATTTTCCAAATTTTCAAGGTTGTTCAGTACCGAATGGACCTGAAAATAGAGACTTACATGAATATTCAAGAAATTAACTGATTTCTCAATGCAGAAATATACAGAAATTTCAAGCAACTTTGTCGTTGTTAAAAATTTCAAGCTTTTTCACGTAAAATTTTAAAGGTAATTTTCTTATAGTGTATTTATTTCAAATAAATGGTTTATTAATATCAAATAAACAACTTATTTAGTTCAAATAAACAGTTTTCTTATTTTAACCCTAGTCTGGTCACCAAACGCGACCCTGCGACTCTGGTCACCTCCGCGGGGATTCCCCGCCGTGTTATTTAGGCTTTAGCGTTGCCGAATTCACTCTACATTGTCCGACTGCGTTTAGCGAGTTTCCGGCAACGTCGCGTCATGGGCAATGTCATTTAACATGGGAAAAAATAATTCATCTGTCCGAAATAATTTGTTTTCTGTAGGAATTTTGGAAAATATGTTGTTCTAAAAACTACTATAATTTTTTAGACACTTCAATTGACAAAGTCAAATTTCTTTTCATTTTTCCGACTAACCAGTCAATTGTGATCAAAGAAAAACGACACTCGGCGGAGTTTCTCTCATAGGGTGATCAATTATTCCATGTTTTTCGGTCAATGTTTTTCGATTTTATGACCAACGAAAATTATCAAAGCGATAATAAATTTGTAGTATCAAATAAATATTGACATAGTTCAAAGAAAAAAAAATTGGTTCAAATAAAGAAATTTTTTTAATACACTGTTAGAAATTTTTCGCAATTTCATGAAAAATGTGATAGTAATTCTGATGAGAGGGACATTTCAAGTTTTAGGTAGAATATTCAAGGAAATTCATGACTTTTCACTTTTCCCTGAACTTTCCTGATTTGTCCGAATTTTCACGGAATAATTGAACTAAAAAATCAAGTATTTTATTAATTTTCAGATCATTCGAACAGAAAATCAATGGAATATTGAATTTTTCAATGACGAGATGTCCTGGAATTTCAGTGGAAATTAAACACGATAAAAGTTTCCGATATTTAACACGAAACATTCAGACGAAAATTTTATAAATAAAGAATTCATTCGGATCAAATAAAGATTCATTAATAGTAAAAAAACATTTATTTAATATAGCCAAAACCTTGAATAAATGTTTTATTTAATTTGAAAGAAAACTTTATTTGGTACCATTTAAATGAACGTATTTATTCGATTCAAATAAACTTTATTTGTATCAAACAAATCATTTTTCCGGGTGTATCGAACTATACTATTTTTTTTCGTCTATGACACCCGCTCCCTTATTGAATTCAGTAATGAAATGGTAAAAGGAGATAAGTCAATTTTGACTATTGACCAATTTTCAATCAATATCTCGGAATCTAAGGGAGATAGCAAAATTTTTGCTATAACCTTTTTTGTGGAGCCGATTGAGTGCTACAACAAATGCAATTACGAAAATTTCGCTATCTCCTTTAGATTTGGAAATATTCCTCAAAAACTCAACTGAGAGATAAGTCGACTTATCTCCGTTTACCACTTCACTACTGAATTATCCACTGAAAAAATCGCAATCACTTGAAATTACCCCCACAGCGCAGGGGGTGATTGAAGAGACAGGCCCCAGCATAATCCAAAAAGTTGATAATTAAAGCCCCTGATATTGAAAAATGTGAGCAGTCCGCTGGTCATCATTCGCGTGGGTGACCTCAAATTACGTCACATCCGTCCCTTGGACGCATTAGCAGACTGCCCACAAGCCCACACAACCTTGTCACGTTGTTGAAGATAATAGATCCATTCGCATGGATCACGAACGTGGATTGGACGTGCACGGGACACTGGAAATACATATAATGCGTTCATAACAGAGGAGACGAAGCTTGAATATATTACCTTATCAAATCAAATGTACGAGGAGTGACATGTGCATTTCCTATGGGGATTATGGTACATCGTCCGGGGGGTGGGGAAGGGAATCAGTATGCATGGGTCATTCCCATCTCGGATGATTAACTGATGCGATTTTTGTTTTTGCATTTGCGAGTCCCAAACAAAAAAAAACAATTTTCTTAATCAACTGCGAGGTGATTTTTTTGGTCAAATCTTTTGTTTTTTGTTGTTTAATTTATTCTTCTATTGATTCTTCTATTCTTCTATTCATTTTTAACAGAAAATGATGATTTTTTTTTTCGTGAATAAATCGCAAAGCGTTCGAAATTTATCGATCCATTGAGAAATCATTTTTTTTTCTTTTTTTTACCTTCAGTTTTTATATTTTTATGATAAATGTATTTATGCTGATATTTGTTTAAGCTGGTTATTTTCGCGATTTATCAATGTTGGATGAAGAATTATATCTTTTCTACCACTGATAGGAACTATAAAAATATGATATTATGAATAGTTGGTGTTATTATCTTCATTTTTTATGATTAGATTTTTTTTCGCATTCATGAACTTTGAAATCATCACACATTTATTGATTAATGCAAAGTTGAATACTGTCCATGATCTGTAGTTTTAATATTGAGATGTTTATGCTGCGATGAAATTCCTGACAACTAGGGAAAATAATAGTTATTAGTTATAACTTATCTTCAGTTTCAATTTTTAAGGAATTACAAATGTTTATTGATGCTATGATAGAATTCATGACAATCAGTGAAAGTAATAATAATTATTCTATTGATAATGAACTCCAGAGATAGAAATAATGAAATGTTTCACTCAAATAGTTCATTCTTAATTTGTTTATTTATTAATGTTCACTAAAAAATTTTACCGACGACATTAAATTAAATACATATTCATAATAGAACTTTATTGCCATTGTTTATAATGAACTTAAGTACTTTGTTTATATTTATGAACCGAAAATAGTTGAAATTCATCGATTAATCACCAGTGAAATTTTCCTTTTCATCTTCAATTTCAATTTTTGTTATTATCTTTGGCATTGCAAATGTACATTGATGCTATGATAGAATTAATAACAATTCGTGAAAATAATAATAATTATTATATTGATAATGAACTCCAGAAATGGAAATAGAGAAATAATCTGTTCAAATAATTTGTTCATCTATTGATGTTTAACAAAAAAAAATTCTGTTACCCACGATATTAAATTCAAAAACATGTTAATATCAATATTTGATGCCGAGGACATCAGGTTTTGGCCAGAATATCGGATTCTTTGTGGCCTTGGAATCGTGCTGATTGCACGTTTCCGAGGATGATTGAATGATCGAATTACGCGTCTAGGCACGGTTTTATTATACACGAAGTGAGAAAGAGGTAATAATAAGGGCATCAAGCCACAAGTGAGTCACAGACGTTGTTTTATGGAGGCTAGGTAATTTGTAATATTAGTTTTTTCCGCTTTCTCCCCCTCGCCAGCTACTGGAGTTTCCTTCCCACTGGATTCGTTCTCAGCTTCAGGTTCTTCGATTGTTAAAGGAAATCAATTGGTCATTCTCGATATTTCGTTTTACTCTTAGTTTTTATTCGGTAATAAATTGTCTACAATTTTTTCTAACTTGTTTTTTTAGTCCGTCGTGGATTTAACATCAGGGTCGAGGAAAATTTAAGTGCAGAATTGAAAAACAAATACATGTCTTGATATTTTTGGGCAGAATGAATTCGGCGATGCGAAAAATGGAGAATTCATTGCAATTTTGGGAGTCAGTGGGAATAAAAGGAAGGTTGCTTGGAAGCTATCGATTGTGACGTATGAAAATACAAAATTAGAGCTCGTGAATTGTGGAAAAAGATCGTATGAACAGTTTTATGATTTATCCAACAATTGGTGGATGAACAGGCATTGTTAAGCAGTCGGGTGTGCCTTCCTCTGAGCAATGCTGAATCTGGATGAAAACCTACACGGAGAGAAAAATTCAATAAAAATTCCCTGAAAAAAAAGTAAAAATTGCGTTTTGAAAAGTAATCCGCGAGCGAAGTGAAATTCAATAAAAAGAATGAGTCGAAACTGGAATTGTACGAATCGCCACGTAAATTCTAGGATTTGGTCCGTAAAAATTAACACCCCGTCTGATGACTCATCGCTGTGGGAACAACAAGTCGTTCCGTAATTTTTCCCCTACGATTGAAAAATCGACTTAATCCGATTTTCCGCTTCGCTACTGAATTTACGAAAAAAACATCGTATTCAGTGAAATATCGCAAAACGGTATTTGTGCAGAAGGTCGTCCACGTGAAATTTTGAATTAGTAAAGATATTCATGACTGATAAAATTATCGAACAGGACAGTTAAATAGTATTTAAAAATTTCGAAATTGAGAATTTCTATTTAAAATATTTTCTATTTTCGATTTATAAAATATCCCGAATGGAACAGTATTCACATAGCTCAATTCAGAAGATTAATGTCTGAAATTAGTTACTGATAATTAGCGGGAATAATATCATTTTTGCTGTTTAATTTTAAAAAAATAT